TCATTCCCCCGCACCACCGTAATCCCCCGCGCGCCTCACCCCCCCTGAGAGGACCTGAGTTAGAACCCGCCCTATATACCTACTTATATCTTTTTATTTAATGACTCACTATATATTTAAATTATATTGATGATTACAAAAGTATGCAGTTGTAAATATTTAATAATGCATAAATATGTATTCACACACAAGTACGGTCTATCATTTCGAACAAATTCTTGCACGTACATATATTTTTGTTGGGTAAAAAGTTTTTATACATTTGTAAAATGTTTAAAAATATATCTATTATTATGTATGAATTTATAAAGAGATCTTTATATTAATGTTTATATTATTAAAAATATTCTTATGCAGAATGTCTCTTTGATATAGAAACATTTTTGAAAATAACAATGTACATCATTTAATATGTCAATGGACTAAATATGTCACGAAAGGAGACCGAAGCAACATAGAATTATTTTCAATTATATTTCATGTGTGTAATTAAAGCGTTTATCACATTTTTTTGGAAATAAAGTAATTGATTTATAGCGGGAAAAATGGGGAATTTGATTGGATGCACTAATGCACACTGGTGCATAATAAACACTGTCGTATATAAAATTACAATAGTAGAATTAAAATAATAAAGTAATTAATATTATAAATTTTTTTATTATATTATATTATATATATATATATATTAAGTATATTATATTAAGTTAATATTAACTAAAGTTATATTAAATAAGTTATATATTATATTATAAGTTTATTCAATGCGAATAATGATAATAATAGCTTGTACAATTAATTATATTATTTATTTTATTTATGTATGTGCTACTGTAAATTTTTACTTATTTGTACTAATACAAAAACGGTACTGCGTTACGTATCGTTTGATTCAATCTGCGTTATGTGAATATACAGAAAACATATAAATCATTGTTTTCTTAAATCCATTATTACTTTTCTTATAATCAGAATATTTCTTTATATTAAACAAATGCTTCTTATGCCAAAGGGAAGATACATAGAAATAAATTAATAATTAAAATGTTTATAATAAAATTTATTAAACAATTATATATACATATAATTATTTTTATTTATACATAGAACTATTTTTGTTTTATATATAACTTTTTTGTCAAACAATTTTTAAAGACTTTAATTCTTTTTAAAATAACGCGAGCATCTCCATGGAGAAAAATAAATTACAATGGAAGCAGCTAATAAAACGTCGTGGCACCACGTGATGAGATTAATCGTTCTAAGTCAGTTACTATTACGATTGCTAGTCGAAACGCACTATCGCGTTACTTATCGTTTGATTCAAACTGAGTTTTAAAGAATTTATTGAAAATATATGTATATATATGAATTAATATGAATTAATATCAATTTGAATACATCAGAATTAGTAGAATGAGAAAAACAATTAATTCGGGATTCAACGGAAATCGATTGAGTGCAAACGTTTATGAAAAATGCAAATTATGTTTGGAACAATATTATGTGTTTTATTGATAGGTTTAATACTGACAAAAGCAACTAACCGCCGAAGGTTAATATCACTTCAAACATCCTTCAAGAAGAAAATGTTTCCATGCATCCGGAATTAAATTTCACGGAGGTAAGAGATATTTTCGTTTGATTAAGAAACAATTGAATGTTACTGCAGTTTGTAGTGTAACTAAACATGAATGAAAATAAATTATATATTCTACATATAATAAGATAAGATAAAATAAAATAATTCAATATGAAAAAAAAGTATGTACGATGTTGTAAAAAGAGATGGATAAAGTATATATATATATATATATATATATATATATATATATATATATACAGGGTGTCCGTCGATTTTCGACCTTAATGAAATAAATAAGTAGATTGGCTCGAATTAACAAGAAATGACCGGTATTGCTTTGGGATTGTCGCAATAATTAACGAAATATTAAATAAAAAAGATCGGCCAATCTGCGTGAGTAAAAGCGCGCGGCGACGAGAGTCGTCCCACCGTAATCCGATACTACGAACGCGGCGAAGCGGTGGGCGGGTCGCTCTCCGAGACATGATGGTGGTTTGCGATATATCGCAATACCGCGGCGAAAAATGACCCGTCCCCCCTTTTCGTGGCGAGAAAATGATGCGCTATCATTTCCACACCACCTTGCGGTAGATAGCATGGTTTTTTTATAGTGGTTTCCCCCATAGGCCTATTCCACTCTCAATTTAAAAATTATTCAAAATGCCATTTTCTATACGCTGAATATATCGTAAATGTAAAAAATTAATGGACAGTACCTTTACAAAAATTGATTCGTGGTTGAAAATTCCTCGATAAAATGTATTGCACACGTTGATAATGTGATACGATGATAAAATTTTTCAAGAATCCTTTCTTCATCTCGTACACGAAGACGCACTGCTGGACCGGTTATCCCGATATTATGCACGACACTCAGTTTCACATAATTATTGCACAACACGTAAAATTGTACGGCCACTTGGTTTTCGTGCACGCCCGAGAAATGATTCCATGTAAATTGCGACGCACGATAAGTATTTTCTCCCGCTAGTCCGTATGCCACAATCATATCCGTATATTCCTGCAGAGTACACTTCATTTTCACTGTTAATTTACTACGCAAACACAAGATTTTTATTAAAACGTCTTAGCTCTCGCACGCTGTTACCAGACTGCGTACGCCAGCAGCACGCAACTACAGCTGAGCGGACATGCGAGTGTAATTGTGCGCAGGCGTCGAACTCACACGTACGCTTACACTCACATGTCCGCTCAGCTGTCAGCTGTAGTTGCGTGCTGCTGGCGTACGCAGTCTGGTAACAGCGTGCGAGAGCTAAGACGTTTTAATAAAAATCTTGTGTTTGCGTAGTAAATTAACAGTGAAAATGAAGTGTACTCTGCAGGAATATACGGATATGATTGTGGCATACGGACTAGCGGGAGAAAATACTTATCGTGCGGTCGCAATTTATATGGAATCATTTCTCGGGCGTGCACGAAAACCAAGTGGCCGTACAATTTTACGTGTTGTGCAATAATTATGTGAAACTGAGTGTCGTGCATAATATCGGGATAACCGGTCCAGCAGTGCGTCTTCGTGTACGAGATGAAGAAAGGATTCTTGAAAAATTTTATCATCGTATCACATTATCAACGTGTGCAATACATTTTATCGAGGAATTTTCAACCACGAATCAATTTTTGTAAAGGTACTGTCCATTAATTTTTTACATTTACGGTATATTCAGCGTATAGTAAATGGCATTTTGAATAATTTTTAAATTGAGAGTGGAATAGGCCTATGGGGGAAACCACTATAAAAAAAGCGCACCATGCTATCTACCGCAAGGTGGTGTGAAAATGATAGCGCATCATTTTCTCGCCACGAAAAGGGGGGACGGGTCATTTTACGCCGCGGTATTGCGATATATCGCAAACCACCATCATGTCTCGGAGAGCGACCCGCCCACCGCTTCGCCGCGTTCGTAGTATCGGATTACGGTGGGACGACTCTCGTCGCCGCGTGCTTTTACTCACGCAGATTGGCCGATCTTTTTTATTTAATATTTCGTTAATTATTGCGACAATCCCAAAGCAATACCGGTCATTTCTTGTTAATTCGAGCCAATCTACTTATTTATTTCATTAAGGTCGAAAATCGACGGACACCCTGTATATAAAATAATTATTTCTAAAAATAACAATTATTAAAATTAATGAAGTTTTGTGTCTACTATCTGCTACATTAATATATACATACAATGGCACTTCAACAGATTTTTATGTTATTTTTCTTCAATTTTTAAAATTTCTTTATTTTCCTAGATATATATATATATATATATAAATATATATATATTATATTTATTGATCTAAAGTAAGTTTTATATTATTGTAGATTTTATTTTATAAAATTAATTTAGAAAGTTAGCATCATTTCTTTGTGTTTAGGATAATTATACAACGGGACAGAGCTACTAAATATCGAGATAGAAAATCTGTCTGACAAAAAAATCATTCATCAAACATTCTTCAAGTTGTATCTATTAACGCTAATATTTCGATTGACAATATATTCAACAACTATCGCTGGAATTTATATTAATTTTCATTGTACATATATTCATTTATATACAATTATATACACATATTCTTATCGAGACATTATCGGTTTATACTATCGGTTTATATTTATTATTTGCTGAATTTGTTTGTGTTAAAAATATAACGAACATTCGAAATAATTCGCGAAAAAACTTGACAAGGTAATAAATAAAAGAATTTATATAATTCTATGACTAATATATTTAATAACTGTAAAGAAATAATATTTTTAATCTTTTTATTCTTGAAGTACAAACATTAATAAAACTTTAGTAATATCGGCAAATTTTTAAAAAGAAATATGAGTTACGGTATAATTGAATAGAGTTAACTAACTCATCGTGAGCATGAATCAAATCGTTAGACAAAAGTGTTTTAATAATTGCAAAGAGCTATGTAATTGTAACTATGCTAATTGTAAAGAGCTTTCGCTTGTACTTGACAAAAGCTGTTATGAATCCTCATTGACTCTCGTTAACCTATTGATTGATTTTCTTTTTAATATGAGTTATGTTTGATATAGAGGATGCCTTTAAAAAAATAAATAAAAACTAGATTTTATGATATAAATAAAACTACATCACATTCAATTTATATCATTTAGGAATGGTATATATCAAACCGGTATTATTAAGCAAACCAAAAACGAATGGCAATGTTTTGTTTAATTTTATGTATTATATAATTTATCATTAAAATCCCCAGAAACAATCGCCTCAATGATATTCACTTAATTCTTTTCGTATGTTACATTTTATGAAGGATATTTCAATGTCCGAGAAAAGTGATCATCATATACTAAATTTCAAATCTGACCGGAGTCATTCTGATAGTACTGTTAGAAATGAGCGGGAAGTCGATGAAGTTATATTACTTGCAAATATTTCTACCATTCCAGAATCTATCGGTAAGTTGCAAAAAATAAAACATTAATAACAAAATCTATGATAAAAAAGTGTAAATATAATTTAAATTCAAGAAAGAGTGGCAATCAAATCTAAAAATATCTTCCAGTATTGAAAAGAATATAAATTCTAATTCTGCTCTAAAAACAAACAGAAAAGCGCAATATAAAAATAACATTGTACATAAAAATTGTTATAATTTATGGTAAAATCAATTTTATTAATATGTTACTCTGTTTTAAAGCAGTCGCAAATATTATACTTCTGATTTCTTAAGCTATAGGAATTTTTCGAAAAGTACTTGTCGTTTTAGTAAAAGTTATTTATTTTTGCCATGAATTAACGATTACTTTTCTAAATCTTAAATGACGCAAAAAATTATTATATTATCTTTTTAAAGATCAATACTGTGCTAATTTCTATATTTTGTAGTTTACATTATTTATTTTTTTATTTTTTTTAATTTAATTAAGTTTATTTATTTTTTCTCTTTCCTTTATTTTCACATTAAATTGTTCTTTCTGATTTACTGAGATAATCCACTTAATCTTATATATAACTGTTAATGTGTACGATCTTAAAATCTTTAGAAAGCAGTTTGAGCAAGCCAACATCTCTCAGAGCATTTGTACAATTCGACAGTCAATTTACAGAAAAAGTAAACGACATTTTTGTGACATTGAGGTAAGAAATCTAAATTCCCAGTTTGTATTCTTTCGTTTTTCTTTCTTTTTCTTAAATTCAACGACATAAATATATCAAAATGATAATTCTGTTATAATTTTGTTAAAATATAAAATAGTTCAAATTTTATTTCAATTTATTTTTTTAATTTATTTAAATTTAATTTAAATTTAATTTAATTTATTTTTTAACGACATCTCGGACATTGAGAAGGATCTTGAAAAGATCGAAACGTACGTATGTATTATTTTCTGTTCACTCGAATCAATTTTTTCAGACATATTTTTTATATTTTTATATCTGACTGATTATTAATATATTATGTCTCTTACTTAGAGTCTTTATTATTATTTCGATTTTTTTAGGCTCTTGCGCCACGTTCTTTTAGCCTTCCTTTTTATTTCGTTTTGCTAAAATTTTACGTTTTACAGATGGAACCAACCAGAATTTGCCAATGAAATAATACAAATGTACCAAGTGCAGTGTTCTTTCTTCGAGGACTTTAAAGAAACCTGCGACGATAGAAATATCACAGCTACAAAATTGGCGCACACGGTGCACAATCTAACATCTAACACGACATATTATTTTCGAGTACGTGCGCTAAAATTGTTGCTGGTCCTTAGACGGATTTAATCAATGTGTCGACTACACATGAAAATTCAATACGTATATTATTATTTACAACGTATGAAGGTATCAAATTATGGGACTTGGATTTGAACATTTATATTACTAATGTCGTAAATTTTACAAAGTACGTAATTTTACAGAATATACTCATAAAAAAATGGTTTTAATTATCATAAATCATTTTTAATTATAAAGTAAAAGTTATTACTATTATGCACAAGTTTATTATTATCAACATCGTAGTCATAACTATAAAATTAGAAATCTCGACTATAATTTTTTTACTATACAATTATAGTTTCTTTTTTCAAATCAGCATTTAGTTTCATTTATTCATCAATATGTGTCACTTATTTGATACAAGACCATAGAATTTATTGGATTGACGAAAAAGATCTAAAGGCATTGAAGATTAATGAAAATAATATCACAAAAATAGCTAGCTTCGAACTATATTTATATAATCTCTGCATTGAATGGGTAGCAAGAAATCTATATTTCACCTATAATGATTTCACCTACTCTTATATTATGAAGTTCGACTTAACAATGCGGAAAAATGGCATAATTAAATTTGATGAGATTATCAAATCGCAAAATTATATTCTCCATTTAAGTGTATCACCGTCTATGGGGTAGGTTAATTACCGTTCACTTGAGAAAATAATTTTTCATTAAAGATTTATGCAAATTTGTAACTTTTCTATCATTTTACGTGATTTTACAATTAAGATCATAAATAAAAAATATAATAAGTTGTTATATAATTATAAGAATTTCGAATTTTTACTATATATAAATTTTTGTTATATTTTTAAAATTTTATATTTTTAAATTTTTGTTATATTTTTAAAATTTTTAAAATAATGTTAAGTAATTTTGTGTTAAAATAATGTTTTATAATGAGTAAAATAGTTACATATTTTTTAGAATGTTATATGTAACATACAATAATAGGACAATGACAGCAAATAGTATGGTGAAATATCATCTCGATGGAGAAATCGAGCAAAATGTTAAGATAAATACATCCTTTTGCCTATTTCATTCTATAAAATCTTTTCGTGAAGTAATAATTGATGATATGAATAATGAGGAGCCGTTAATTTACTGGTTAAATGCGAATTACATAATTGTAACAGACATTAACATTTCTATATGCAATACGATTTTACACTATTTATAACATAAGTGATTTTAAACATAAGTGTTAAATACTTTTATTTAAACATAATATTTTAAACATAATTTTAAACATAAGATTTTAAACATAAGTGTTAAATACTTTTATTCTATGACGATTGACAAAACAAACATTTATATCTTAACAAATGTTCGGAATGATTTTAATTCTGGATACGCTATATACGTTTTGAAAACGAAATATGCAAGTCTCAACAGCGTAAATGCAGCCGAATATGTTGAAAAGATAACAAAAATAAATAATAATGTCCCATTTCAAAAAATTTACGCTTTTGATAAATCTTTACAACCATATCATACCTTCTTTACAACCATATCATGAGATGTCTGACACCTTACGAAAAAGTTTACAATTTTGAGAATGTGAATGCAACGGCAAACAGCATCAATGTAAATTTTCCGGAACCGATGGTGAAGAGTGGGTGCAAAAAATATAATTTACCAACTACTATATATACTATCTCTGTAAGCTGTTTAGACAACAATCTCAACAAGTCTGAGAAATTTAATGTGCTGCGATATGTGACGTGCGAGCGATATTACGAGATTCAGAACTTAACCATTTACAGAATACAAATTGAAGTTTACTTTAAGCAATTTTTACTTTGATCAATTATCAATAAATCCATTCGATTCGAATGTGATACCAATAAAAACTAATTTGGGCAGGCCTAATGCACCAGAAAACATAAGTGTTTTAGCTTTGACGCCTACTATAGCAGTAGTTCATTGGATGCCACCCAAGCAATTGAACTGCGTGGGAATGACCTACGAAGTGAGTATTGGAAGTTAGTGAACGTCACGCAAAAGAGTAAACAATTTATCAATGTGCCGAAACGTATGGCAGATGGCAGATTTTTCACAAAGATTAACTTGTCGGAACCAGTACAAAATTACTCGATATACGTGCGTGTGTATCCAACTAATTTCAGCGATTTCTACAACGAGAGTTTAAACGAGATCGTTCACATATCCTCAGAACCAAACAATATTACTTTGAGCGGGGTCAACATAAATAGCATGAACATTTCATGGATCTCCAACATTAATCTGAAGATCTTTTGTATACTGGAATACAAAGAGATTGCAGCAGAAAAATGGCAAACAATAAATTATTTTAAAATAAATTATAATAATGAAGTAATGTACCGTGTCGAAAATTTACAATCGGGCTTTTTATATAAGTTTCGCTTGATATTGACATACCACGAATATGAGGAAAATTTGATATGACCGGCTGATGAAAGATTTATTTTTTCAACACGTGGTAGCAAACGTGGTAAGTAAATATCCATACAGCACAATAAAGTTACGGATATATTGAAGAATAATTTCATTGAAACATTGCAATATTGCAAATCGAATGCGAAACTCTGATGAGTTATTGTTATAAGATTGTGAAGAAGTTAAGCTGTTCGTTTTTTGCAATTAAATATTGTAATAATATTATAACGTAATATATTGGAGAAAATGCAATGTTATTGCAACCATATTTTTGTTTTTGATGGATAAATATCTTGGAAACATTTAATTAAATTAAAAAGCTCAATATAAATAGAAGTTTGCAATATCTAAGATAATCATGTCTAAGATAATATATTGCAAAATTGTATTTAAACATAATCATATACACAACATAAAATGTTATATTTTATACAAAATTACTTTAAACTCTTACTTACAAATCAATTCTCTTATTTTAAATGTTCTATATACTCTTATAATGGGTACTTTATACACTTATATTATATATTGATAGTGATAGAATTAATTATACATTACTAATTATATTTTTATTTAAAAATTTAAAAAATTCATTATAAATATATTTATTTACATGTGAAAAATACATAAGAATGCATAGAAAAATATAATGACAGATATAATAGTATCTATTCTTAGTATAATAAAAAGATATATTATCTTTGAAGATTAATATCGTATTCGTAAATAAAGTGAAAATATATTTGTAATATTGCAATATTGTTGCAAAGTAGTTGTAATGTGCTGCATAGATATTATGTTCTAATTTTTTTAGATATAAATATACCAAAAATTATATTTTGTATTAAAGTTGTAAGTAAAAATAAATTTGTAAAAACATACACAGACGAAGATATTAAAATTATATTTTTACTTAATACAGATATTCCGAGCAATCCTGAAATAATAGAAAAAAAATATTACTTATTATTGATGTTAAGTTTTATCGTTATAGTTACTATAATCTGCGTCTGCTACTTTTATTATTGTAAGTATGTTTGATTTGGCTATCGACTTGATTTGTAGATTATACATATATGTGTATATATATATATATATATATATATATATATATGTATATCTAATAAACTATCTAGAAATTTACTGAAAACATAATAATTTAATTATATAAAACTAAACGAAAAATTAAATTTACTAAAAAAACAATAGATTTTATAATGTTATTACATAATTAACACGAAATTTCATAACAGTGCATCGTCAAAGCAGAAGTAATAATGAACAATTTTTGTCTTCAATAATGATCAATATGGAATTGGCGATTCTACCTTGCCGAAACACTCAATTCAATATGATTTTCAGTCCTATGTTACATTATAATTCGGATGAATGTGCGATAACTATAGTCGCACGTAAACAGATTACACTTACAAAAGCTTGGTAGCGGCGAATTTGGAAAGGTAAAAATTAATCTTTTCAAGTAACGTTTCAAAACAATTTCTAGATCAACAAAACAGATATGTATTTTCTAATAAAGATATAAATTACATAAATTTTTATAATAAATTATGAGTAATATAAAATTTAGATGAGACAACAAACATTCACTTTATTATATAATTTGCTAAATTATTTAATATAAAGTAAAATATAATATTACTTGACATTAAACACCCTTTCTAATGAAGTACGTATGTAAATTTGTGTAAAATATTTTGCAGGTGTTTCAAGGAAAGGTGAAAAATTTAGAAAGATTGGATACAGAGATATCCGTTGCAATAAAAACGCTTCGAAAGGATGCTTCTTCCTATGAGAAAAAGAAATTAATAAAGGAAGCCAAGCTTATGAACATTTCGACACAAACATATATTTTCGACACAAACATATATTAAGACTGTTGGCCGTTTGTTTAGATGGAGATTCACCGTTATTAGTGTTGGAATTGATGGAAATTGGTGACCTGTTAAAGTATTTGAGAGAATGTTGAAATTTGCAAACGTCAGATTCGTATGCCCTGCGTTTGCAAGATTTGTTCGCCATGTGCGAAAATGTTGCGCGAGGTTGTTGTTACTTGGAAGAGTTGCGTTTCGTACATAGAGATCTAGCGTGTCGCAATTGTTTAGTATCTTCGAGAAATCGCGAGGATCGTGTCATCAAAATTGGAGATTTTGGACTAGCTAGAGATATCTACAAGGATTATTATCGCTTGGTTAATACAATTATGAAAATATTTAATGATTTTAAAAATTGAATTCTTTTTAAAATACTTTCTATTTTTTTATCATAATAGTATACTGCATTGTTTCTTTAAGTAATATAGAATATAAATAGTTTTTTATATACAGCAAGAAATAAATAAACGTTTTTTATTTTGCACATATTCTAAAAATGAACAACTTGAACC